TCATAATTAAATTTTAATAAGCACACTCTGGACAATTTAATTAATGCTTCGCCCATCTCAGTCCTATCTAAAAATTTGTTTTGGAGAAAAAAAAAAAGATCAGTCAATGCTGTTGCTATTACCAATATTGAAGTGTTAAGGTCGTTCTGCATCACTGCTGATGTAGTCCTTAATTGTGTATGTTGAGTCTGTAAATCAATCCTTTATTAATATTCTCCTTTACTGTGACAATCAAACACTCCAGGCCAGCCGCTACAGGAAATGACATAAGAAAGGACATTCCACTGTGACTTCATCAATGATTGTCCTAGTTCACGTGTCTGCACACAGAGTACCACACAGACTCACCCAAACTGCTTCCAGCATAATCCACAGACAGACAGACAGACAGATAGACAGATAGACAGATAGATAGATAACAAAAACATTATTTTCTCCTATGAAAAACAGGATCTTTTGCTTTGGTAATGTTTACCCCCCACACTCTATTTATGACAGTCTACATTCTTCTCTGAACATAACAAATTGCCAAAAGCTACTGGAAGTCTGGTTGACAAGTTTAGAGAACTGGGAGCCAGGGCCTATTACGGTGATTCTAATTGTGCATTCTCTGGCGTCACAGAGAGCCCCGAGGCGATCGGTGTGAGAGCTGGTTGAACACACAGGCAGTCTGTATGAAAATGTCACAGTAATGTGGAGGCCCTGACTTATTGCTTTGGTTCCCTCATCATCTTCTTTAGAGGTTAATTAAATCAGTTGAGAAACACATTTAGCTTAACCATACCTCCGTGACTTTGTTGCTATCATCGGCTCCTTGCTTGTAGCATATCTGCATGATTCTGACAACATTTGAGTTGTTCTTGTCTTGAAAGGCAAGAGTAGTTCATTGTACAGTCAACGGTTGTTGTTCCCAAAGGGGGAATTATGTCAGGAACGTTGCCAGTTTCCAATCCGTTATAGTCCTCTAAGCTCCTTCCCCCAAACCCATTCTCATTTATAAACAAATACACTAAAAAGATCCTGCCTATTTACAGAAGAAAACAAATTAAATTATTCTATTGTAGAATGAAAATGGACAAATAATTTAATGAGACAGCATAGAGCAAATGTTAAGATTTAATTCCTCCTTACGTAAGGGCTTGTATCCAGGGGTAAGATTATCTAAGAGGCATGTATTGTACCCTCCCAAAACAGTGACTAAAATATTCCTAAAATGTACCAAAAAGTGAGGACTTACCTTAATTTAAAGTCTGGATTTATTCCAAAACCAAAAGGTAAAAGAAGGACCAAAGAGATGCCTGGCAGTAACATTTTGCAGTATAATGGTTCTGGTCGTCATTTGTAATCGCTTTTTTTTTTTTTTTTGTGGGTGGAGAGGTGAGGGGTGCGGTTAGTTTATCTCAGACAAGCCCCGCCCCCTCGCCTCAGCTAAGCGGGTAGGGAAGCAGATGGGGCAACCAGCTGGAACCAGCAAGGAGCTGGGTGCAATGCAGACAGATACAGATGTTGCAATGAATTCAGATTCACAGAGTACAGTAGCCGGGTGAATCTACAAGCCAAAGTCAAAGTGCCATAAAGGCGGTGCCATCGGCCACCTGCACCAGCGTTACGCCTTGTCAAGGTGGTGCCATCGGCCACCTGCACCAGCGTTACGCCTTTTCAAGGCGGTGCCATCGGCCACCTGCACCAGCGTTACGCCTTTTCAAGGCGGTGCCATCGGCCACCTGCACCAGCGTTACGCCTTGTCAAGGTGGTGCCTATCTGCGGTTGTTCCTCTTACACTTTCCAGCAGCCTTGTAAACCATCGTCTTCTCACATAATTGCTGAAAAACGCCTCTGGATAAGTGCCCCCCGAAGATGTACGGATGGGTGGATGCAGTGCCAGATCCATAGTCACCCAAATAGGCTAAAAAAGAATGATGAAGGCATATGGTGCAAGCAAGAGTGACTCTGCTTTATGTGGGGTGCTGCTTGACAACTGCCATTGCATTCTGATAACCCTACTGTACCTTCCCCACCCCCACAACCCCTGGCTGTCAGATTTGTTATAGTGCCAGGTGGATAGAGGGATGGATGGATGGAGGGATGGATTGATGGATAACTGAATCGAAATGAAATGTGAAATACTGGAACATTTATTTTGAAAACAAATTGTACCCTGAACAGTAAACAAGTATAATAAACTTAAATTAAGACAAACAACAATCCATCCATTCATACATCCATCTGTTCTTTATTGCGTCTTTGAGATCCAGAGGAATTTCTTGGAAGAGCTGCCTATAAAGGCAGGATGGGACGAAACTCTAAATTGGTTTCCCTTGGAAATCTGGTATTGGAATAGAAGTGAATAACATTGAAGCTGTCAGCCATTCATATATGTCAGTGTATAGGAAAGCAATAGGAATAGATTTTTCTGCAGTCTTAAAGTCTTTTGCTATTGCCTGTAATGTTCAGGTCTTTTCTCTGCTTTACAGAATAATTAAGCCTAGATTACTGCACATATTAAACAGTTGTGCCCCATCAAAGACGGACGATCTCTGAATGAGAGTATCAATAACAGATACCTCTCCTGGGTGATATTTGTCTTTTTTTAATTATTACTCTGCAATCATTTGCACACTGGGTTTAATGATAAATGGCACACATTTCTTAAATCTCTGTTGACCCATCTCCCTGGAGATGTCATTAGGACAGACGTGTACCTACTGTGTTCTGAACTGCTTAAAAAACAACAAAAAAAAAAATGCAGCTGTCAAAGTTCTGATTGCAGAGGCAGCAATGACAATCTGGCAAAAGTCAAACAGACGTCACAGTGAATGACACACAAGACATTAATATGTGTGTTGGAAACGTTTAAACTTTCAGGCCGTGAGGCTAGATGTCGATGTCCCGTGATGAATTATTAATGCGGAAGGCTTCCACCTGGCCAGATGCGCAGCATCCTTTTTAGACATCGAGGCCTGTTTAAGTGCCATATGTCAACGTGCAACAGTAGGCCAGCTCAGACAGTATAAATCACTGCATTAGCATGAAGTATACTTCAGATGAGCTTTGTCATTAGCTAACTATGACTAAGTTCCATGACAGGAAAGAATAATTGGCTTCACTCTGCCTTAGGGGACAGTTTAAGTCAACCAGGCCGCTGGTTCCCGGCTCTGGTCCTGGGAGACCCAATGTTCACTGTTTCAATCATACCTAGTCCTTTAAACACTAGACTCGATTGAGCTATTCTCAGCATATTATGACATACCCAGCCATTTTACACTGTTTTAGCTGGTTTTGCACTACTAAGAAAGATTAAACATCTCTAATTTCTACTTTATTGGTACCATTTAATATTAATAAGATCGGGAAACATAATTACAGTCAATTAATTTGATTACTTGACCGTCCGTGGCCCGTGAAAAATTATGCAAATGACTTGACTCATTATCAATTAAAGTGAATATTATTTGTTTGACGCGCAGAAATAAGTTAAATGTGGCTGTTAGTAAAAGTAAAAGGGATTTTTATTTTTGAGGAAATCTATCTGGGCCCCAGTCAGTGAGATGTTGAATAAGAAAGACCAGTTCACACAGCCTGTTGTCTGGGGACCCCTAGGTACGTGTCCTCTACCTTGTAACTGTTAGTAGATGCGATCGGTATTTTGTAAAAGCGACTGAGTCTTATTCAATAAGACATTAAATAACAGGAAGCAGCCCACACTGAGGCGCTCAGGTCGAGGCCCATTAGGTCAGTAAATTTCAGGCTGCTGTTCTATCCGCGGCCCCTGAACCCCCCGGTGGGGCCTGCGGTAGGAGGTTAGCAGCCCCCTCTGCACTGTCCTCCCAGCCTGTACCACGCCAGCCGTGGCGTGTAGGCCGGTGACGGATCACGTGGGCCGCCACCGCCGCCCTTGATCGTCGGTGCCACGTACGGCAGCCGTTATGCTCAGCTGAGCGTAGGAGAATCGGCTTCGGCTAAATTGGGGAGAAAATGGGGGGGAATAATGATAAAAAAAGAACCCCCCTTAATAAAGTTGACCGGAGCGGTAACACAAGGTCTTCCTATCACATAACAGAAAAGCGAGCAGACATCCAATAACAGTCCTATGGTGACCGTGGCAACGGCAAACTATATTTAATCCATCCACATTTAAAGGGGATTCTACAAATTCAAATGGAAGTGCTAAAGTATTACAAATCACCAAGATATATATATATTTTTTTCCAAATGCAACATTTCCTTAAATCACTAAGCACTTAAACACAAGGTCCTGTTCCAATGGTGCTTCGTCTAAGCATGGGAGCATTTTATACTTTATTTTAAATGCATAATAGATGCAGTTTGATCTGCAGAAATAGTGCAGAGGAAGGGCCTGCAATGAACACCAGTGAGAGTAATCAAAAGAACGTTCTGAGTTTACAGGATTATATTTTGCTTCTGGGACTCTCGTCAGCTGTGACCCCTTGTGAGAATAAACCCATATGAGAAGGGTAGTAATTCCCCCTATTAAAAAGCTCGGATTTCCCAAGAGCTGAGGGAACAGACTGCAGCGGCACGAACACTGTTTGCTGCGATAACTTGAAGGCAAGACGATGACAAAACAATAGCTGGAGAAATACTATTATACACTAATTCCAGTTGTAATGCTATTGTGCTCCGACTAATTTTTATTGTTATGAAAAACACGGTACGAGATGTATGCTGCGTTCTCTTTTGTTTTTCTTTTGCAGTTACTCCCACGAAAAATCTACTTTGAAGTTAATACCATTAACATTTTACACATTCACACAGTCGATTCCTGCATGGGATGCTTAAAAAGATAAATAACAGAGAAATGCCAGCAAGATGAAGCAGGAACCCTCTGGACCGCAAATCCAGTCCAGTCGCTCCAGCACTTTATTACATGCTGACCCGGCTGGTGTGGTGAGAGGGGGAGTGTGGGACGCCACTGTGATATTTTAAATTCCCAGATTGATGGAAGGTAGCTTAAATAAATTAACGTATTTGCCACTTACCTCAGTTCTGTCTTTTTGCGTACTAGGCATATCTTTTCCCTCCTGACAAGACTCCAGGCCCTGCATTAAACAATAAGAAATACTTCACTAACACACCCATGGTGCACAGCCTTTAGCATATTCAATTGATGCTACTTACAATGACAGCAATGCTTTGTCTTTCACAGCAAAAAAAAAAACAAAAAAACACACACAGGTCCCAGGAAACCACAGAATGCAAACTGAGATGCAGGAAATATGTTAAACATCTGCCTGAACTTCCAGTGTGAAGGAACATTACGTGCAGCAGTTCAATGAAAATTAAAATGGAGTCGTCGCCGCTTTATTGCATATTAATTACACTTAGAAATCCTCTGGACCGCTGCGTGATTAAAGCGCGGCGCCGTTCAGAAGCGGCACGCTCTCACACACCCGGCTGCCTTTATTGCGGACCCAGTGGCCCAGTTTCTGTCAGCTGTCGCAGACTTCTCCATGTCACCAGCTAATTGCTCTGAAGCCACAGAAGATCATAAGGAACACTGGAGATGTCTGGATTTAAGTAATCAAGTGATTTTAAATGTTTACTGACAGCAGTAGTAGCGTCTGTTCATAGTCATCGGCCTTAATTTATATGCACATTTAAGTCCAGCCTTCATCACCTGCCACAATTCTTACTTCTTAAGCAAATCGACTGCATCATCTCCTCTCTTATTGCACATTGGAGACATCTGCTTAAAGCTAAAAGCCATATTTTCATCCTTCATGCATCTCGATCGCAATATAACTGTGGGGCACAATGGAGGATATTATACTTATATTCACCTTCAAATCAGTATGTTAATTTCTTGTCCTATGCAGGGTCATGGGTATTCAGAGCCTATCCCAGAAGCTACAGGTGAAAGGAGTTTTTCAGAGCAAAGGGCAAAAGGCGGGGGACGCCCAGGACCGGCCCCCGTCGCCGGTCCGATGCAGCCACACATTCATAACAGGCAATTTAGAGACATCAACACCAACATAAACTGCATGACAGCTGGAGTGCACTGCGAAAGCCTAATCCGCAACAGGAGGATTTCAAAGCCACCCCGCTACCCAGAGCACCTCCATCCTGCCCCGTGGAATATTTTATTCATAAATAATCCCAATCCCTACAAAGCAGTGCCTTCCAGTTCACGGTGCACCATGACTTGTGTACCCTCTGCTTTTTACATTAGCCTGCAGATCATTTCGATACAAAGTGGGGAAGCTTCTATTTAAAAAATGACAGACTGATATAAATTCATAAGACATACTGTCACTCGACCCTCAAACCCCCCCCACCCCCAATCTAAGGAAAATACTGAGAAGATAGTGGTCATGGAATGGGTCGTGTGCACTGTATATGTGAGCTCCCGCAAAGCAAAAAAATCAATATTCCAGTGCCACAAATATGCGTCGGCAGCACTGGATAGGCGTCTGTTAAGCCAGCCAGTGGTAGCCAACACAAACACAAGAAAGATTTTCAGGTTTAAATTGGTTTGTCAGTGTGCTGGCAGTGACATTTTTTTGACAACCTATCCTTACCTTTTATTCATCGTTTGTTTACAAAGGGAGGGCAAATATATAAAAAGCAAACAGCAGGAAAGGGAAATGCGGAAAGTGTGTAATCTGGACCAAAATTTCAGTCATGCCGAATTCTGTTGTTTTATATATATATATGTATATATATGTATGTATGTATGCTGGCACTGTGAGGCCATGGCTCCATGTGTGTGGAGTTCTCCCCATGTTGCTGTAGGGTTTGTTCCAGGTACAGTCCAAAAACACATGACTTGGAGTTTCCATGCCCATAGGTGTGAGCGAATGGTGTGTGATGCCCTGCAATGGGATGGTGCCCCATCCTGGATTGTTTCCTGCCTTGGGCCTGAAGCTTCTAGGATAAGCTCCTATATGCAAGTTCTTCTCCTTGGTGTGTATGAACTTTGTATGTGTCCATGTCAGGGGAGTTTCTAGCTATTGAAAAGACCAGGAGCTAAGTCAAGTTTACCTGGGGCTTGACATTTTTTTTTTTTGTTTCGATGGAAGATTGGCATTGGGGCTAAAATACTCGGGGCTGTAGCCCTGAGTGATCAAATCTAAGGACGGCCAGGATCCATGTGGGTCTCCTATATGCTCTCCGATTTCCCTCCACACATGACAGACATACAGTCCTGGGTAAAAGTCTTAAGTAGGAAGCTATTTACCTGGGTAGTAAGTATGCATTTTTTCAGAACAAAAACACAATTTAACATTAAGACATTTGACAATTAAGAGTAACAAAATAAAAAACTAACAGGAATTTCTTCTGTGTGCTTCATTGTCCCCAAGGGGGAATTTGCCTTGGAATCCAAGCCACTGCATTCCATGACATATAATACATTCAACAGAGTCACAACCTACGACTTGCACGAAATACCATCTGCAGTACCATCTACTGTCCTCAAACCGTAATGAAACTGTTGTTTGTTCATAATTAACATCTTAATGACAGATGGAATGCATGAGGTCTTGTATCTATTCAGCCTACAATTTATTGTAATTAATTGATTTAATTATTTCTTAAAACACTGGTTTGCTATACAAGGTGTGCTACACAAAATACATGGCTGTATAGGATTGTTGCTGCAAATACTGGGATGGTTTTGAAATGGCTAAGCTGATACACTTTGACAGACATAATATCATTGTTTTGCACCAACATGAAGTTTATTCAGCATCATTTTCTTTGACTGCCAAAGACTTTTGCACAGTAGTATATTTACACAATAACACCAATGAATACTCATCAGGGAGTAATAGAGTTCAGTACCTCACTCTAGAGTATAAGAAAAGAACACCTTGCGGAACTGGAACCCGGAACTCTCAGGTCACCCTCTTTAGGTTGGTATCATTAACCTCCACACTCTTCTGCAGGCCCTGTGCAGAATGAGCTGTAATAGCTGCATCTTCATACCACAAGTCTTATACTACATGTTGTAATTCCATGGTAAATAAAATCCTGATTAACAGATTTTTTTTTTTTGTTTAAAAAAACAAATGCCCACATTACCACACTGCTAATGAATGATAACTTTTGCTACCTTTTGAAATTCACATTAAAATTGCTGGCAGCTATTGGCTATAAGCTCACATATCCTTCAGGGTAAATGTCTGCTTTGGGGAGATAATGAAGAATTACTCGGTATATGAACCTGAAACCCTCGTTTGTGTTATTTTTAATTACCTGTCAGACATTCTGGCAGGTGTAAGCGTAACAAATGTCATCGATCTCCTAAGCCCTTAATGCTGAGACAATGTCTCTGGATCATTTAGGCATTTTTTTCTTATTACATATAGCACTGCTCTAAGTAAACCGATTGACAAGCCCAAACAGTTAAAGCCATGCATTTATACATTTCATATACCCACTATTGATGTGTCAAACTTACCAAAAACAAAACAGCAATTCAAATTTTGTTCTTTTATTCCTTCAGCCCTTAAAATGCAAATGCTCAGAATGCGCGCGACATCTGCAAACTATTATGTAATGAATAATAATGGCAATTAATACTGATCAGCAAATATAGACTTTGTGCAACTGTAACAGCAATGCAGATTCGGTGCCACACTTAATCACATACTGTCGCCTCAATCTCAACAATGACAATATTATGGTAATGTATTCTACATATAATTAACTGGTTCTCAAGAAGCGTGCTCATGTGCTCGGAGGATAGGGGAGGGTGTGCTTTCTGGGATGGCATTCCTTCTCTACAGGAAAGCACAGTTATGTGAGCCAACCTTCATTTTTAGCCAAGGATGCAGTAATAATAGTAGCCCACAAAGAGTTTCTGGTAGGATCCGGAGAAGACGCCAGTCAGGTTTATGTTTCCCAGAGTATATGACACAAGACAGTACTGACATATTGATAATAAGAAGCAAAACCCAGATATCTGTGCAGCATCAGTGGCAAAAATCTCTACAGCCTACCCACCTGTTTGTGTTTAAGCAATACTGTTCAAATGCATGTTTACTTTCACTTTCACTGCAAAAAGATAATATTTATTTATTGACCTTATATACCCCATTAATCACTGCATCAAGATTTTATTTTATTTTTTTCATGAGTCAAATAAAAGATGAATTATTAATAATTACATCAGGAAAAAATCTTTCAGTTTTGTAACTGAGCACAGAGTACACCAACAACTGCATGTCACCCAAATGCTGACACAATGCTGCAACAAAATTCTACTTGTAACTATAATATGCAGATATTACTTTACTTAGAAAAATGAATCATTAAATATTGTTTTCTACTAAAAAAAAGTTTAAATAGAAGTACATCACGATGCACCGACTTTCGGATATGCTTCCGAGAGTGGCACCTGCTGAAAGAATATGTTACACAAAGGTACCTCTGTGCATAAAATATTGCTGTGAGAAATACGAGCGTGAGGATTGGCTCACCAAAAACACCTAAAAGCACAAATGAAATCTTTGCAATTGCGGGGCTGTTAAACATAATGTTGAGTTTACTAATCATAGTTTGCTTGACAGCAGATAATTCCTTTCTAAACGAACAATATTTTGCAAAAACTGCTGATTTCATCTTTGTGCTTCAGAGCACAGAGCAAGAGACCACAGTTTGCACCAAGGATGATAAAGTTGTGTCTTACTGTAGCATTATCTCGCCCAAACCAAGCACTTCTTGATAGCTGGGTTTAACGTTTCCATTCCAACAAGTGATAAATATTTCAAGACATACAAAATGAAATCACAGCAATATTGTTTTGCTTGCGTGGCTTCAACCTAGCCTTTCACTTTCAAACCACGCCTTTAATATCGACATCGTATGTCAAACATAAAATCCACTCTTTCCTACAAGCAGTGCATAAATCAAATATATTAACAACATAAATGTAATAGACACAAAAATGTGTGTGTGTGTGTGTGTGTGTATGCGTGTGTGCATGGGTTTGCATAGATCACATTTGGGAACCAAATTGTCCCCAAAGTGTAGTAAAACTGGAAATTTCCCTACTTTTGGGGACATCTTTTAAGGTCCCCATTTGGATTTGATTACT